GTCGGAAGTTAGTTATCATAGTAAATTTTTGTGTTATTTACGTTTTTTTTTACAATTTCTTATGTTTTTCGCGTTTGGTTTGTTACACAAGATCTTATGATTTTATTGGATCCGGATAGGGTCGGAAGTGATCTTCAGCCCGGGATTTTCTGGACATAAGGGTACCCTGAAAAATATCGATTTATGTTGATTAATTGTCATCGGGCTTTCAATTATATTTTGTGTTCAGTTCGGTTCCGGAGTGCCGTCTAAAGAAAATCTATCATCGGGCTTTTAATTATATCTGTAGAATATAATTGATTAAACCCGATGATAGAATTTCCACAGATGGCATTCTGGGAGGGACAAGGAATATAATTGAAAGCCCGATGACAGGTTTTCCCTTGGCAGCACTCGTATGTAAATCGATATTTTTAGGTCAAATCATAGGGAAATCGGATTTTTAATGCGGTGTAACAATACCGCGTCGGCCAAAATTAAGTGTATAATTTGGGCGGACAACCAAAATTTGGCCAACCTGAACTGTCGTAAGTTTCGGAAACGTAGAATCAACTTGGCCAATCTTTGTAAATCGATATAAATCGATATTTTGTCAAATCAAATCGATTATCATGTGACTGAAACAACATCACGAAATCAACGCGTCGTCTCGGATTTGTTTACATCAGTATAGATGTTGTGTAACATAAATCAGGATCTGCGCCACATCTTAAAAAATATATTTGCTTAGCTTCTCGAATCTTTCACTTTCGTACTTTTCATAGAATTTTGTTTTTTTTGAAATGGTAACAACACAATCCTCTCATAGTCACAATCCTATCGATATTTCTGATAATACTATACAATCCGAAGAAGATTTGTGGGCCATTGCCAATGTTCTTTCCGCAATGTCATCATTTGAAGTATTTACTTTTAGGCTTTTCGAAACTGTAATGCTTAATCCTATAAACATATAACAATTTACTTTTCATTTTCAGCGAGACACAGAATATGCGGAAGAATTACAGGTTTGGCATCACAATTATCTTTTAATTTTGTTAATTATATTATCATTAATAATAAAATATATTCTATTCTTTCAGCTTCGTGAAGCCATTGAAGCTACCAAAATGAAGTCTAAAGGCAAATCTAAAAGAACAAATTTTGATGATGATGATGATAACGATGATGAAAACAATATTCGATCTCTTTTTGGAAACAACATTTTGTCCGATCTATATTCTTTTCAAGCTTCTCAATTGATATCCGCAGCAGATAATAAATATGTTACCGAATTTTATAAAACTGAACAACAAAAACAAAGAGATCATGAAGTAATTTTAATATTATATTATTTACCGTATTTTATCTTTATCCATTAAGTGCAATCCGTTTTAATATATTGAACTTCTTTAAAAAAAAATGTCATTAAGTTTGCTATTAAACTTCAACAATTTGACGAAGATGGATATGATATCGATCAGATAAAAAAGGTCAGCGACAACACATTAACATAATAAATACAATGAATTTATGAGTTGTACAAGCAACATAATATACCCTTTTTATAGGATGACGAAATTTCCCATATACGTTCATGTGGATATCAACTGTCTGACGATGAATATTCTGATACCATACAGGATGATGAAACTTACGATTTCAATCGAGAAGATATCTATTATGATGATTATGATGATGACGACGATGACGACGATGACGACGATGATCATTTCAGTAAAAAAGTTAATTACGATGATGAAAGTTACAATTTCAATAAAGAAGATAATTATGAAGATGATGACGATGAAAATTTCAATTTCAATAAAGAAGATAGTTATGAAGATGATGACGATGAAAATTTCAATTTCAATAAAGAAGATAACTATGAAGATGATGACAATGAAAATTTTAATTTCAATAAAGACATGAATTCTGATGATGAAAGTTACAATTCCAATAAAGAGACTAGCCAGGGGGTTGACCATGACGAAGGATACAATAAAAATAAGGAGGTTAGTTATAGCGATAGCAGTCAAGATTTTGGTTATAACGATACAGATGACGAGGTTAGTCTCAATACGTTAATTACCAATTCGATCGTGGTTGATGTATGTAACAAACCTATAACTCTCTATAGTATGAGGAAATGTCTAGCAAGTTTTCTTACGGATTACATTTTAGAAACGTAGATTCGGAGGTCAGTAATAACGCATTAATGTTATAAACAATTAAGATTATTAAAAATCGTTATTTAAGAGATCATGCTTAAATTTCCTATAGGATGAAAATTTGTATCAAAAGAATTACGGTTCTGATAAGGAGGTTAGTCATTATTTATTAAAAAATGATTAAATGTTTGAGGAACGCGTAATTAAGCTATGATTTTTATAGAATGAAAGAAAATCCGGTAAATTTACCTATGGTCATCGAGGGGTTAGTAATAATAAAATTGATAATATAAACAAAAATAAAGAGTTTTTGTCATTGTACGAGAAATTATACTATAATTTACTGTAGGATGAGAAAAAGCGTAAACGCGAAGTACTGGCAGCGCAGAATGCGGTAAGAGTTTTAATGATAGTCATGTAATCTTGACGTTACAATGCAAAGCTTGCTCACGTTCACAATTCTTTTGTGTGTATAATAAGCCTGTCAAACGTAGGTTATGTGAAACTGAATTATCGTTGAATGATAGTAACATAAATGGTCCGTTGATACTTTAGGATTTTTGTTTTTCTTAATAACAATCTTTTTTTTTAATAATAAATTAAGCTCTTGGGATTGGGACTGGGACAATAGGCAAAGGAAAAGGAAAGGCTACTCATTTTTCGACGAACTTTGACATGACCGATTCTCAAGTCAAACTGTTAAACCCACCTAAAGGAAACCATCGATGCAATTCTTGTTACGACATGTTCTCAACTTTTAATTTGAATGCAAACCTTGATAAAATGGCGACCAGTAGTGCCAATTTAGGCGTTATGTTGGATTGTAAACATGGTTTTTGTTTGGTGTGCATGAATCATTACTTAAATTCAACACTTAAAGACGAAGTTGTAGAATTTCCTATCAAATGTCCATTGAAGTGTGCTGATGCAACAATTACTGAAAGAATAGTAGAAAAATCGTTGCCAAAAGAAGATTTGGAAAATTATTATTTAAAAATGACTGTGTCAACCATTAAAAACAAAATATATTGCCCGAACAAAAAATGCAGCGCATTGATTGATTATGACCACGATGAGGACCTGCCAGTTTATCCTCTTCCGTGTCCAATGTGCCGCATGTTATTCTGCCCGTCATGCAGTGTATTGTGGCACAAAGGTAAGTAATTTACAACTGAGATTTATGTGAATTTAATTGAAATATTTTATCTATTTTTTCATTCACTTTAAGATTTGACATGTGTGGAGTATCAGAATCTTCCTCCTCATGAACGTTCTCCAGAAGATCGTGAAGTACTCAATTTAGCCAAAAACGAACGTTGGCAACGTTGTCCTAAATGCAACATAATAGTTCAGTTAGATACCGGATGTAATCATATTACTTGTAGATGCAAAGCTGAATTGTAAGTTATATATATTTTTTCTAGTTCAATGATAATTCTAAATATACAAATTTATTGATTTGCTTTTACAGTTGCTATGTCTGTGGTTCGGATTGGAATCGCGATACAGAGAGATGCACAAAAAGATGTGAATTATGGGATGAAAATATGTTATTAGAGGTTAAGTAATAATGTTTACATTGTTATTATGAAGTTATTATGCATTTAATTTGAATTATTCAATTTTATTGTTGGATTGTTTATAGGAGCGTGCTCGTCGTGACTTAATAGCCCAACAACAGCGACAAGTTCAACAACAACTTCTTGCCAATCTTGAAGGAGTTGGAAACAGAAGTATATTTTTTAAGCTTATGCGTATTTTTTCATTTTATGTGTTTCCTAACTATCAGATAACCTGATTCTATATTTCTAATTAAGGAAATAATGATATATTTATGGACTCGGATGATGAGGACGAACAAGATGAAGCACCAGTGAATCCAGTTCGAGTAAATCCACCTCCACTACCACCACCACCCCAGCCTCCTCAAGTAAGACAAATCAACCGTCGACTCAAGATTGACCTCCAGGCTCTCCTTGACCTGCAAAGAACGCAAAAACGCTTTCATCTTAGTAATTGGTTAATAAGGTATATGAAAATTTATATTTTCGATAGTTTTTTTTTTTTTTTTTTGTAACTAAATTGAACGTTGATTATTTTAGTATGATTGAAGAAAAACAGGTAATTACATCATGATAGTGATTAAATACATTATTGATTAGTATAGTTAACTATTGAACAGAAATTTTTATAATGTATTAACAGTCAGAAATTATTTTGAACAATCCTTTTTGGCTATATTAGTGTGGGTACTGTAACAGGAAATTTCGACGTATTGAGGATATGGAGAGTCATCTTCAACGTACCACAGTTCATGAAGTTTATGAATGTTGCGGCAAGGTAATTTTATTTTATGTTCAAGCTGTGACTTTGATAGGCGTTTGAAATCCATCCTAAATTGTACGTTATATTTGAACAGCTTTTCAAATGCGAGTTAGATCATACCCAACATAAAGCCACAATGCACATGTGTGGGAGGGTAGCCAATCAAGAATGATCGCTCATTTGATTTGTTTAATCATGACTGAGTATTATGCCTCACACCATTAATCACTCGCACTGTATTTGCTACGCATTATTCGTGCGACTTATAAATTTAAATGTAAATAACTATATGTTAGATTAATAACGCGAATAAAATGAATATTCTTTTAAGATGTTCTACAAGATCTAAATAACTTAGTGTAATATGTACCTTTATATTTTCTATGCTAATTCCGTTATACTTAAAGTTAACGCTTGCAGTGCTACGAAAAAATTTAGTAAAAAACCGATTTGCACACTATATGTTTACAAATTCATGTAGCAATCATTTTTATATGCAAAAATTAATCCCATTTAATATGGTGCTCCAAGTCACTTCGCATCAAATGCGCCAAATTTGAGGTATATACAAATACATTTTAGCCAATCAGAAAAAATACACAATCTTTGATGAGAAGTGACATATGTATAAGAAAATAACAAAGACTAAATATTGAGATACTTTATGGGTTGTTGCATAGCAAAACCATGCTTAGAACATATAAAAAATATATTTTCTAAGCATAGCATAGTATAGGTGCAAACATTTGGTGAAGTTATAATGTCAATTGGACGTAACTCAATTGCCATAACTGACACATGCTGTAATATTTGACTTGTGTCGCAAAATTTGACTTTGCGTAATTTCTGATTTACATAGTAACTTCTAACTTAATCTACCTTTGCTGAGCCCTGTAATATTTTGTTTATTACTTTATTTACATTATGTATTAACACTTTACATGAAATACAAAAGTCTATACTAATGTTTTCGACGTCATAAGAATATATTTGCCATTTTATTCAATATAAAATACTTGACTCTATGCTGTAAAGTGTACTATGTAGTATTATCGTTGTTATTTTATATAAGTTATTGGGATAAATTGTTATAACGTTTTTGTATTGCAGTAATTTTTTATATTGTAATTAAGTTACGGCAAATGTCAGATATTATGACCAGTGTTGGCTGCAATAGATGAATAGAAAAATAGAACAATAGGATAGAGCAATAGAATTTAGAATAGAATAAAATTTTTGTCAATAGAACAAAAATTGCCAACAAGATTATAATTGAATAGAACAATAGAAATTGGAATAGAATATAATTTTTATCGATAGAACACTGATTATGACCTATGTCGTTATGACACTTTTGACGTGACGACGCGTCAAATGGACGTAACCATATGTCTTCAAATGTCTGCATCTATAAAGCATAGATTTGTTATGCAACAACCCATATAGTTTACGATTAGTATTTGCTTAGATTTATTACTATTCTATATAAAGAGCTGCTTGTCACGAATAATGAAAATTTAGATGTCAGTATTGATAATTGAATAACTAGAGATGGGTTTCATGCGTGCGCATGATTCCGTTTCATGTGCATTTTATCCCATCAAGATTTCTCTCCTCTCGATCGTTTTTTCTTTTTTTTTGCCTTTTTTTTATTATGCGATATCATGCGCATGAAACATTTCGTGCGCATTAATGCGCATTCATGCGCATGTTATTTTAAAATGCGCATTTTTCCCATCACTATGAATAACACTTTTAAATTTAACCATCGTTACGAAATTTTTCGTAATAAATTTACTATTAGACTTTTTCTTTCATAATGCTTTTCTTTTATTACGTGTAATAATAGCAGTTACAACTTAATTACGTAACGCTAATGATAACTTTATATTTTTCGTAAAAGGTTGCTTGTCATTACGAGTATAAATATCTATTTTTAATCTTGTACCCTTTAATGAAAAGACTAACATAATAAAGTCACCTGTATAACGTTCGCTTTCGATCGCTTTAACCATTTAATGCTTACTTACTATTTGTGCCAAGTCTGACTGTAACGTTGGGGTGTTCGGTATACTGTGTAAATCAAAAACTATGCGTAGTCATATACGTAATTTTAGATGGCAAACGATAGGTAATAATTTCACAATATAAATAATTATTGCAAAATTTAATAGATGCATAACTACTCGATAAAATTTCGCGAAGACCAGTATTACATCCTTACAAACAAAACATTGTTTTTGACCCACTTAACTCATTTTTATTGACCCACGCATACACATGGTGTGCGTATGGTGCGCGCATGATGCATGCAAATTGGTAAAATTTGGAGTTTTCGTAGGCTTTTAAAAGCAGTAATTAAATATGGATTGTTACGACACACAGTGTGCGTGATCTAATGATGCCTGGCGAAACTAATTTGCTTTGACGAAATGGTTTCGTCAATGGTTTCGTCTGACGAAACTTGACGATATGACGAAACTGCTGACGATTGACAAACCTGTTGACGATTGACGAAACTGTTAACGACTGACGAAACTGTTGACGATTGACGAAACTGTTGACGATTGACGAAACTATTGACGAAGCCATTATAATTATAAAACAACAAAATTTATTTACTAAAAATTTTATTTTTTACTTATTTAAATTTTGACATGTTTTACAAAGTGCTATAGGTAAAGATTCTAAAACACCATCTTTACCATCTGTGTTATTTAAATTTTCATTAATATTTTCATTTACTTCATTTGCTACACTATTTAAACTATCATTAATATCTTCATAACCTTCATGACCTCATCCTCTTACTAAATCCGCTGCTAATTCCATAGAATCAAATTCAAAAACACCATGTCCTACTTCATTACTAGTTGTCAATTCATTATGTTCAATTTCATCGAACTCATCAATTTATAAATTTTCATCTGATTTATTATCTTGAAAAATTTTATCATTTAAAAACACAATATTATCAAAATCAAAACATTTAATAATATCTAAATTATATTTAGTTTTTTCTTTTTCTATTTCAGAATCTTCAACTATTTCATTATCTTTAGCTAAAAATATTGTAAACTTTATTTATTCTTGTAAGTTATTAGGTAATAATGTATTACCAAAATAAATTAGTTCTTTTTTTATATTTGAAATACAAAAGGATTGAACTTGCATCATAGCTTGGATTTGAGAAAGAAAAAGTCTTTGTTATCATTTTCTATACAACCAATCTAATAATGAGAATGTTCTTTCATAATCAGCAGAATGAGAAATAATTAAAAATATCTTAATTGTAAGCTTTCTAATTGATTTTGATTTGATATAGATAGTTGTTTACTATAACAAAAGAGTATTATTTTCAAAACTATAGGGTAATTTAAATATTTTATCTTTTTCTAAACATTGACACATATATTTTACAATATCTGTACATTCATACTGATCATATTCTTCTTTTTTAATTGTTGTTTCTGCAACAGTTTAAAACTGTTGTTTTTGCAATCTAGTGCCTAATAAAAAGTATGTTAATATTTATTATTATATTTTTTAAATTACTACAATATAATTAACAAATTTTATACAATTATATACCATAATGTCATGGATAAAAAAAATAAGTTAATATATAAATACTACTATTAAAATTTCTTTATTTTTAATTAATAATTTGTATATAATAATTTTTAAATGCATTAGTTTAAAAGTCAAAAATTTTTTTAATAGAAATTGCTAATCAAACAAACTATATTAAACAATTAGTTAAGGTTATTAATTGAGTTTCTAAATTTGTAATTATTATTTGAATAGGAGTTAAAATTTTAATCAAAGATTTAAAATTTAAAAAAAAATATAATTCTTTTAAGATTTGTTTAATATTATAATTTGTAATTAATTCTGAATTTTTATTTATAATTTATGTTAATTTTTAATAAAATTTAATTTTAATTTTAAAGCTATTAATTAAATATAGTATCTTACTTTAACAAATATATATTTAAGTTGATTAACAGTTAAAATACATTTATATATAAAGATTTATTTTGTATTAACAAATTTTTTTAATTCTTTCTTGAAAATTTTTAATTCATTAATTGCTAGTTGTAAATATGCATTTGACTAATATGATTTTTTAAAATATTTTATAATTTTATTATAATCTTTTATAAGGTGTAAACTAAATATATGCTCTAAAATAAATTTTGTATTAATATTATAATAATTTATAATAATTAAATAAAATTAACAAGAAATAGTATTAATTTTTGTTTAAGTAATTTTTTGAAATTAATAATCTTCAAACAAAAAACTTATTAATATAGAAGTTTATATATATTTTAGAATTATAAAAGACTAATTAGTAGTAAAATTATATAAAAAAGTTTTGTTTTTTTTTTAAAATATTAAGGCGAGTACTTGTGATACAGGATTTTATTGATAGTACATTCAGCTAATAGTTATTTTACAACCATAGGGGGCAATCATAAAAAGAGTGTACAACTAGCTACTTGTACAACTTTAGTCATTGTCTAATTTAAGTAGTCTGCCTAAAGGTTCTACACT